CCTCGGCAGATGTCCCGCGTATAATTGGCCCCGCGGTCGCGAATTCCTCCGATCCGACCGATCGGGATCCATAAATCAATTAATTTTCGAGCGGGCCCACGGTCGGTAATTTAAATTCCGGTCTGGCGGAATTGTCGTGAAGGAAAAACAATGCTGGAGCGGAGCCTGGCTGACGCCACCTTAAGTATTTCGATTCGGATTCCGGGTGCCCTGCCTGACGATCATCACTCGAATCCCGCGAATCTTATCCGCCCTTTTTCCCCTGCTCCTGCTTTTTAATCATTGCGGGCCAAATATTTATATGAAGCTTTTTTTACGTGGTTGGAGATCGATGGAGGTAGGGGAACGTCGGGCCCCGTATTTCAACGAGGCATGGATGATTGACTTTTGTTTTTGGTTCCGGTGCTCGGGGCGCCTAAGCTCATTGAATTAAGGGATGCGCCGATGGAACGCGTGATCTCCTGTTTAATTATTACCACGGATCATTGCTCAGTGCAAATAGCACAAAAGTAGATGCTTGACGGAATGACGCCGAGGTACGATCGATTTTTGTATTCGAAGCGCCGCGTTGTTCAGCCACTCCTTCCGACGGATAAAGAAAGCCCCCTTCCAATATTGGTAAACTAGTTGCAACTGTTCTTTCGCTCTAGAGACGTTGAGCGATTGTACTTCATGTCGTCTCACCTGTTGCACTCTATTGACGTGACAGGGCTCGTTAACGCGGTGAGATAAGGTAAATTCCCGTCGATGCTCTTATCCTTATTGGCATGTGATTATTGGTATGAAATTACCAATAACGGGTATTGCAGGTATAGCAGCATACACCAATCGTGGATAAGTTTGTGATAAGCCAGTGTCGGTAATTCAGAAAACAAATGGCAACTCTCTTTTACCTTACGGGCGTGGTAACGTAGCCACGACAATTGAAAATAAGGGAAAAGAAAGGCTCGTTAGTGTCTCCAATTGCCGTAATTAGCGCTGCGGACGATATTAGCATCCATCGAACATTATAGTCCATTTTTGCCTCGATTATAACGATTAGCCCTATCGATTTTCTTTATTTAATTATTACTTGACGTATAGGTTAATACATCTCCAAGTTTACAAATCTAGTTTGAAGAATCGTTTTATTTATTCCTATATTGTAGATATAGCGTTGCAAGTATGGTAAATCGTAAAGCCAGAGTTTAACCTCCGGATACATTTTTTCAAGAATATTCCTCAAAATTCAAGAAAGAAATATATGAAGCAATTATCGATTCATCTCTCTAAATCAAATATTAAAATCCATCAATATTGCCAAAATACTGTTACACATATAGATAAAATTTAACAAAAAAAAAATTAAACAAAACAGTATATACATACGCACACACACGCACGCACGCACGCACGCACGCACGCACGCACGCACGCACACACACACACACACACACACACACACATATATATATATATATTTAAATTATTTTTTTAAGTCTTCTGTTAATTACATTGATCGTTCTATTACATATGTAATTCCGAGAATTTACAAAAAAAAAATTAAAAGTTTAATAGATATTTATTTTATTAGATTTTATCTATTTCTATTTTTCAATTCTTGGATCATATTAACCGATAGTGTAACAAATTTAATAAACAAATGGAATATATAATATAATGTCCGAAATTAATTAATCCGTTTAAGCGTATTGATCGAATCATTAGTGAATTTCACTAACTATTACATATTTCACTAAGTAGTACATTCACTATCGTACTTTTGTTAAAAATTTAAAGTCTATTGATGTTATAATTGTATAAAAATTATAAAAAAATTATGCTTCTTTAACTTAATAAATTTTAATATTAATTTAAAAATTTTAAATTTATTTTAAATTAATCTTCGTGAAATATTCGAATAAATAAACTCTCGTAGTTTCAATTGCTTAGTAATGAAGGTAATAAAGAGTAATAATAGTACCAAGTTTTATTGCTGGTCACATTTATTCCAGTGTAAATTATGACATTTTTTTCAGACACAAGTATCAAATTTATCCATTTCTTTGTGAATTTCAACGTCGTTAGACATAATTCGCGTTGATGCATTGCACCGACGACCTGAAAATTCGGAGTACATTAATAAATTTTCTGTAGATATTTCTTGACTATTTTACGAAACATAAACGTATGATACGCATATTCATAATCTGTATTTATGTACATGTCGAGCAAACTAAATTGTAAAAAAAAAAAAGAAAACAAACGAAGAAGAAATCACTATTGCAATTTCTCCCATTGCATAACACCGAATAGTAATAAACAGTCTTGTGTTGGGCTTAGTAGGGGTGATCTAGCATTAGTTCACCATCGACTGTAAAAATTGTAACTTCCTCATAATATACACATAATCATACACACACGCGCACACACGGACGCACAAACGCACAAACGCACATACATACATACATACATACATACATTCATAGATACATACACTTGATGATACACGCATAAAAACATGTATATATATATATATATATATATAGACATATCTACATATACATTTGAATCTATTATATATTATTTGAAATGCTGAGCTTCCAATTTCTTGTCGATTTTTCTTTCTGATTAATTAGCTTGAAATGCTTGGATATCAAACTTTTACACATATTTTTAATGAACAATAAATCTGATAATAACAGGCGCCAATAACAATTATTCCAAGTATAAAAAAAATAAAATAAACAACTTAATAATGTGATCATCCCTTACCGTCGACACAGACACTCTCTCCTATCTTAAAACATACACAATTAATATAATAAATAGTTTACTAGAGCTATAATTTTATAATTAGTGGCTTTCGATTAGTTATTACGATTACGATTTTACACAGGAGCGTTTAGAAACTTTATTTCACGCCATTATGGCGTACACGCACACACAATGCAAGCACATAATTCGCATACGCACCTTGACATGTGCTTAACATACCACATCTATTATTTTTTTTGTTCAAATATAACGAATATTCTATATTTATTTATCTTCCTTTAACTTTAACAACTACTCTTTCATTGCCGATTAGAAATGTTTAAATCGATTTATTATTTTGAATTTGATTGCAGTGCGATCGTACCTATACGTTTGTAAGTTAAATGCCATCAATGTATGAATAATTAATTTGCAAAAAACGCGTATATATAATGTATTTGACATATAAAAAATGGTATGAAGGCACCCAAACGTTCATATCCCTTTAAATCTTTTCATTGATACATATGTACACAGGCGCACCTCGCATACACACACACGCACATACGCACGCATACCTAAGCATAGATATGCATATGCATATTATATATACATTCATATGAATATATAAAAGTTAGATAGATAGATAGATAGATGAATAGATAGATAGATAGATAGATAGATAAGTTATCACACTTAAGAATCCTTTTACAAATATTGTTTCGTTACGTCGATATTACGATTTTGCGTTCATGTGCATATATCATTTTGAAAAAATACATTATTAATTTATTATATTTAACATTGAAAATACATCGATCTCTTAAAAAATTTTTGCTCGTATACATACGCACGCACGCACACGCACGCACGCACATACACACACTTACACACGCGCGCGCGCGCGCGAGCGCACGAACACGCAATTGTATATGTATGTACATGCGTGCATACGTGCCTGCGCACCCACGCTATCTTTCTCACGCATTAATGCACTGCGCTCGCACCACATATTTTGCCAAGCAAGTGTATGCACGCGCACATGCACACATATAGATGCGAACGGCACGCGCAGGTGTATATGAAACATGCATCGCCTAGTTACATGCGTATGCACAAATGTGAACTCATACACGGGATAATTTTTTATACATGTATACAAGGAAATTTCACGTTTAGTACCAGCTAATCTCGATAAATTAGTACATATTAATTCTTGCGGACTTTTCAGAACTCGTTTGGCTTTTAAAAATTATCGACTAACTTTCCATGTTTGATCGAAAGAACGGATGAGCAGTAATAAGAAGGAGCTGAATAAGATTTCATAGCCTTGCGCACACGCGCATAAATCTCTAATGCGCATGGCAATATACACGTAGGCTTCGCATAATACTTGCAAATATTATATTCGTAAGCCTTTTTAATACGTACTCATAATCGCGTAATATGGACAGATATTTGCAAAGCCCAAAACACTAATGTTCAAGTATTCTATTTTTATTATCTTAATATTGGAGAGAGGAAGACAAATGCATAAATAATGGGATCTTTTTCAGCTTAGTCAATGTGACGTATTAAACTGATAGGAGAGTCGAATTGGATGGCGTGGGACATGACGAATAATTGAGAAGACAAGTGTCGATACTCACTGATTGGGCGGGATTTTTCAAATTTATACGATTAAATCAAATACAGGATCGAATAAATATTAATATGAAGGCTCGATATTTGCAATCTCCTTCGGATAATCGAACCCAAAGCGGAAAAGCCCTCTAGGTCCTTAAGGTATATATGTGGCGGTGATGAGAGCCGGTCGCGCGACTAAGTTTACAAATCGTTATGATCGGTGAACCTTCGCATTTCCACTTCGCACGATACGTACAATCTAAAATTTGTTCAAATATTAACAACATTCATGTGCCACGATATTAAATGAGTTGAACGATAGATTAACTTATGAGATTAATTATGACAGACAGTAAATAAGAAATATCCTAAAGCTCCTTACGTTGTATTATATAATTTACTTAGAACTTAATTTTTCATAATCATCTTTATCGTTTATGTATAATATAACTTATTCGCAAATAATGTGTGCCTTTGTGTGTATGTTTGTTTGTTTGTTTGTTTGTTTGTCTGTGTATGCGTACCCATGCACGCGCTCACGGTCTTGTGCGTACATCCCTCCTCTCTCTCTCTCTCTCTCTCACGCGCTCACGCACTCTCTGCCTCTATGTCTGTATATCCATCAATGCGTATGCGCGCGCGCGCTCCCGTGCATGTTGGTGCACCAGTGTGAGAAATATGCACGCA